ACTAAGATTTCATCAAAAAACTTATTTTTGACGCTCATTGTTTCTAAATTGACTAGCCCGGATCTGCAAGTGTTACAATCACGTAGCAAGAATATGTGCTACCATGAGAAAAGTCAAAGAGTATTGTCTTTCCAGAATTCTAGATGAATCTTGAGTACATGTCAATGTTGGGTTTTTATTAAAAAACCAGTTTCAAAAACAAGAGATTTAACAACAAAAGTCTTTGAATTTTGAATAACATAAAATAAGTTTATAACCCACCAAGGATCATCTTGCAAAGTTTGGAAAGAAAAAAACACCAACCAAAGAAGAGATTGAGAAAAATTACAACCTTTGTAGTTCTTTGCATCCTCTTGGGAGGCTTAGAAGTTGATGAAAAATATATAACTTTAGAGACACCAACAATGAATCAACTTGATGTAGAATTCTAGTTCTTTTGTATAAAACTCTTAAGACTCTTAAGTTTTTTATTCCTATCAAAATAAGAACATAAAGAGAGCATAAGCAAGAGTGTGATCTTCAAGTCTTCAACTAAAACTAGAGAGAAACACACATACATACATAGTTACGATTTTTTTCATGAGTGGTGAAAGAGATATGAAAACCTATCTTTATATAGAAAATCTTTTGTCCATAAGTTCTTAAGACTTTAAGAACCCATGCCCCAAAAGCCGATATATTCCCTATACTTCAAGCCATGCCTTTCTTTTGAATAAATTAATCAAAAAACTAGCACTCTTTATTTTAATCATATTGTTCATGCTTGTCTTTTTAGAGGAGTGTTTTTTTCATTAAACAAATGAAGAGCCCATACTCTCTTTTGTCTAGCCATATTTCAAAATTATAAAGGTAAAAAATACAATATCCTTTTATATTTTATAAACCATGTTTATAAAATATAAACTTTAACTTTTTGGTAAAAGACAAAAGAATTTATCTAGTCTAAAATGTTGTGCATGACTTATGCTCCAAGCCCTCAAATGGGACAGCAAGAGGGAGTACAAGAAGAGGTAAGCCAGGCGGATTGCCAGATGAAGGCGTCTCGTTAGCAAGAGTGGAGTGTGATGGCACTGAAACAGTAGGAGTAGTAAATCCTTAAAAAAATCTACAGCTAGGAAGGGGAGGATGTCGTGCAGAGCGATTGGCCGAAACTACAAGTCTCCTTTGAATTTCTGCCCAAGCACATGAGAGAAAGACAACATATGCTATCCCCTGAAAGAAAACATTGCTTTTTATTTCTAAAAAAATAGGAAGGGAAAAGGAATGAGAACAAAAATAGGAAAGTCAAAAAGCAAGAAATGGAAAAGCTTACCTCCATTAACGGAAAAAAAAAAACTCAGGCATTTCTTGGCGGCGCCGCCACTCGGTGTTCATCCCGGATCCAACAAGAATGTACTCATGGAATTCCTCGGGGGAAACGGTAAAGCTTTCCAAAAGAGGTGCATTTTCTTCATCTTGACCAAGCAACCTGGGTGCACTATCACAAGTCGTTTCAGTCCGAAAATAGGGTCCGCCGACTCAAGAACTGTTCACCCAAAACCAATGATTTTTCCAGTTCTTCGAGATGCTCTTCTCGTCAGACACAAACACACGAGCATTCTTCCATGTATAGAAGATAAATTTATCACCGATAGAAGAATAGCAAAAGAAATTCTTGAACGCCAAGAGGCGTGGAAGAAAACCTTGTTTACAACATTAGGGGTAAGGTCGTAAACATTGACTCCATTTTATGAAGCACCTCATCGAGAAAGTCAGTAGTCGGAAGCTGATAGTCGGCATTAAAGGTCTTGACAAAGATGCCAACATTCCCTAACGAGGGTTCCAGAAAGGATGCCCAGTCTAAGGATATAAGTACTCCGTCCTTTGGCTGAAAACCATACTTCTCCCCGAGAGTCTCAGCATACTCGGAGATCGGAACAACACCATGAGAAGAAATATTGTTGATAGGGAGAGTCATTATCTATGAAAGACAAAGAACAGATGAAGAAGAAAACTAAGAGATGGAAAGAGGTAAACATGTAAAGATTAAGGCAGGTATTTATGGATAAGATCGTGGAAAATAAAACGCCCAGAAAAAGCAGGCCATTATGCAGAGGTAATAACTACATGACATATAAATAAGTGACACATGTACCTATGAACCTAGAATATGATGACATACCGTGCTATGCTATCACTACTAGACTAAGGGGCTTGATGACGTATCCTATAGCGGTCCGTCATAACATGACTAGATGCAGTGGTATTTTATCTAGTGAGGTGGCTGCTGGCTCGGGCGTAAGAAAGAAGGAATGGTTGAACAATGCTGCCCAACTAAGCATACCAGAAGAGTAACGTTGAGACGATACCACGACAAAATAGACAGAAGGATCAGCTATTCTCGACAACCAGCCGGTGACATCCGGGGAAAAGTCTCTTGCTCCCCATGCAGGACTATGAGCTGTCATACGAAGGTAGACGTCAGTACGGTCGTGCAAGGACCACTACCGTTTATCCCCTCTGCTCCAATCAGAATAGAGGAACTGTCAGACAAAGACAGATGGACCAATAACAACCCGGTATATCAAATGTCATTATTATGGTCCCCATATCCTAAAGAACTAACTATATGTGGGATTCTGGAAGCACCTAAAGAGGTATGATGCAATTTACTCTCTACCTCAGACTCTACTAAATCTCCCTCCTAGATAGTTGAGTAGATCGTCGGAGCGTCCTCCCCCGATCCCCTCCCGGAGAACGTCTGTTGTAGTGTTTGATTGTGAATATAGATTTTGTCTTAAGATTCCTCAACCAGCTGGGGTCTTGCCGGTGGAACGACGTCACAAATATATATATATATATATATATATATATATATATATTAAAATATAAATTCAATATATGTAATAAATATATTGCGGTTATTTCAATTAATATGGTGCTTTTATACATACTAAAACTAAACCGCACCGATATTTACGTTTTTCTAAAAATTATAAACTGTACCATCAGTTTAATGTACGCTTTAGGTTTTTTGGTCTCAGTTTTTCGGTTATTTTGTGGTGTTTCGGCTTTCTGTTTGATAACCCTACATATGGAACCAGCTAGACCTGAAAAACATGTCGTGACGTATCGGGTTCGTATCATGTCTAGACATTAAACAGGTTGAGAGGGCTTGACTCTAACCTGACTCGTTTAATTATCGTGTCCTGTGAACATGTTTATTTTTGTGTCGGGTTTTGTGTTAAGGTTTAAATTTTGTAAATACGTTCTGACATGTCGGGATTAAACATTTTAAATGATGAAAAGTAGGAGATGATGAGGCGATAAGGAAAAAGTAAAACATAAAAGTTAGGAGGTGGAATGATAAAATTCATCAATAAGTTTAGAATGCAAAATGAAAATAGTTAAAATTATGGAGTAAATGAGATATATGGTGAGCAAGAGTAATGTTATAAGTCGAAATTTTAATTTTAATTATTGAGTTTCGTCCACTACAAGTTTATAATATATAATATATTTATAAAAATATGAAATTTATAAAAAAAATGATATATAATTAAACGGGTCGTAATCGAATCATCTTTTGAACCCATTTACTTAAACATCTCGTAATCTCTTAACAAAGCCCACTAATTTCGTGTTGGGTTGTCGTGTCGTGTCGAGTTTTGTCAAGTCTAAAACTATCTTAATGTTTCATTGTTTTGGGGGTAAATATATTCACTATTCAAGTCTAAAACGATATAAAAAATAGATAAAACAATGTACAATATGAAGACGATTATTTAAGCTAATAATGTAATGCGATTCTTCGTTTCATTTAACTGTACTTTAACTCTTCATTCTAATACGGAAGTTGCTAATAACCATATTCTATCCACCGTATCAAGGCCGGATTTGAGGGGGGTGCAAGGTGGGCAGCCGTACTGGGCCCCGAAAAAATAGGGCCCGAGATTTAGTCATGTTGTTTATTTAATATTTATATAAATAATAAATCATTCAAACAAAAACATAGTTTCCTTATGGTTCATGTGATAAGCGCGCTTCTAATTTTTTAAGATAATACAAACTACCCGTATTCGAATCCCTTTAGGTGATGCCTTTTTAACTGTGTTAAACTTTCTTTGTATGCTTCCACTAAATTCTCGTGCTTTTTTTATTTTTATTTATTTTTTGCATCTACTAAGAACATAATTACAAAATTCTTCAAGTAGTATTTTATTTTTCTTTGTGTGCCTCTACTAAATTCTCTTGCCTTTTTTTTTATTTTTATTTATTTTTTGCATCTACTAAAAACATAATTACAAAATTCTTCAAGTAATATTTTATTAAAGTATTAAGTAATTTTTTAAAAGATTAATTACGAGTTTTAGAACACTATGCACCCATTTGTTTCACTAATTTATAATCACTTCCAAAAAGATAATGATAATACCGATTTTTAGTTATCAATAGGGAATCGTTGAACGGTTGAAGGAAAATATTAGATTTTTGTCACGTTTTACTAATGTTCAAACTAACCTTTAAAATCTTCGTTTTATTAAAAAAATATTTTTAGTAAAATTGTAGTATAAAATATCCGGTCCGGAACAGCTAGTTGGTACTTATTAATATACTATGATTTTGTTGTTTTTATTCTTATAAAGTTTATCGTTGTTTAAAAAAAACAGTTTATGTAATTTAATTCGTTCCATGTAATTTAATTCGTTCCAAGTTAAGACCAAATGATCTTTTTTTCCCGGTTTGTTCAAGGTATTTGAGTTTTCAGGACCGACCCTCGACCGTATCCTATTTAAAATTTTCTAGTAGCGAGGTTTATAGAAAGATTGTTGAGCCATCACCATTCCAATGAGAAAAAGATTAATTAGAAACTATAAGTTGTTTACACCAAAGGAAGCAACACTACGTTAATATGCCTTGTAAAGCGTTTAAAGAAAACTCAACAATGCGTTCACCCAAAGGTCAAAGAAGACAATGAAAGAAAGTAAAAGCATACAACGCACACATACACACACACACCATTAGGTTTTCAGGGTAGGTTGGCCATATGCGGCCGTTACCAGAGGTTTTAGTAGCGTCCCGACAAAGAAGACAATCGCGGTACCAGCAAGCACACACCACGTAATCAGAGCCCCTGTCACCAACCGGTTTATGAATTTCCACCTGGCTTTCAACTCATCATGGTCTGGAGTCGTAGCCTCCATTGCAAGCTTATAACTGTATGTAGTTGCCGTAAGGGTGGCAAACATGGACGCCGTAAGAAGCAATGAGAAGATTCGTCGTTTTAAGGATAAACCCGAAAGAAACAGAAACATGGTGGTCATTGAAAAAGTGAAGGAAATGGTGTTAGCAATGGAGAATAATTTATACTCATACGGAGCAACATATGCAGCGATTGCTTGTCCAGCTTGGTATTCCATCTTTCCATTTACAGAGCGTGTATCTTGGTATGCGCCACCAGGTGGGCTGATCGCGGCCTGGTAGTTCATGGCGGCGAGCACTGATGCTGCTACCAAAAGAGCGTCGGCCTTCCTTTCTGCCATTGGATCATCGATCTTCTTGATAAAGTATTCGAATACCTGACGGCAGCATCTTCCCGCCGTGATCAGTGTTGACTGTTGACGTTGTGGTGGTGGTGGTGGACCTGGTGGTGGAAGCATCGGAGCTAGTAGTGGTGTACTGGTGTGTGTTCAAGGTGCAAGCAAGCATATCCATATATGTAGTAGCGCACGATATTTACTTTTGACTTTAATTCTTGGACACAGTACTCTTTCTATATGTAGAAGGAGATCTACTTTAATTATTGCTTTATATCGCTTATACGAGAAGATATTTCTATTATTATGAAACCCTTGAATATGATTTCTTGAATGGCATCCACTTTTATACAATCTTCTTAATTTTGGAGGTGAATATATATGGTTACACAATTGTTAGTTATGTCATCTAATTTCAGAGTTGATCCCAAAACATAAAAAATGTAGTTTGCTAACTAAAATATACAATTTTATCAACATTTTCAATATTCTATGCATAAATTACAATCTAGTAATTTGAATGGATATTGTTTTAACTAATTTCTTGTTATAGTCGGTTAATCGAGTAATTCGAACAAGGCAATTAAATTAATATTTGTAATTTTTAATTTTTAATTTTTAAATTTTAAATTTTGTTATTATTTATTTTTAAAACTGAACTTGCGTTTTACGCTAGTGGTTAATGCATTTTTTACTTTATTGTTATTGTTTATTAACATTTACTTTGAAAGTGGTAAGCTTTTGACTGTATGGTAATTGCGTGTTTTGTGTACTTAATGTTTTTAACGCTTTTCATTCATGAAAGATTATAATAAAACATGTTTGAATTAAACGATTTATGTTTTTAACGCTTTTGATGAATACGTTTTTTTTAACCAGAGGAGTTAATATATGTTGACGTACACAAGAACGTTAGACTCGGGTCTGCAAAGTGGGCAACCCAGAATCGCCTCCCTTTCCACCTCCCTATTTTTCACCACTTAATCCGAGAAATACTCGAACTCACCATCTCCCAGGAGAAAACCCCTAAAGAGAAAAACCTAGATGCATCTTATCAGCGGAGCTGGTAGTCATTTGCATGAATACGTTTTTAATTAGGACATTTCAATGAAAAACGTGTTCTTTCACATGGCTAATCTTTGTTTTACAAAGTAATTCTTATCCTATAAAATAATACTACTTTTGATAATTAATTATAATACATTTGAGTGTTGATAACACAAAAGATCTAAGACCAAGTAACTTGCTAGGTACGTATTGCATCAGCTTTTCTACTATTGCTATTTAAATACAAGGAAATGATATAGGGTGCATCTTATAATGAGAGGGGCTTATCATCTATGATGTAGATTACTATTTAATAATTAACAATATTAATCTCTTCTTTTAATATACAAATAACATAGTGATCTTGTGTTTTTGAAGACCATGTTTAAATTTATTAAAATTAGGCCCTAAAATTTATAAAATAAACAAAAATATAAAAACTCTTTTATTTAAAAAAACTAGATTATGATCCGCGTTAAACGTGGAGAATATAAATTAAATACACATTACATTAATAGATGATATTTTTTTAGGTGAAATTTTAATAAAAAAATGTTAGTTAGATTCATTTTGAATTTTTGAACCAAACTTATTATATTAAAATATTTAATATTTATATTAGAACAATTTGATGTTTTAATACAGTAATTTTTAACATAAATGATCCACGCAATATTTGTTTTATCACAACATGATGCGACTCATTGATTAAAACATGTTGTGTAGTAGCTTTATAAATTGATTTTGTTCAGTATACGAATCCTCGTGGAGGCTTATATGACACTTTTCATATTGGTCATGTAAAACCAAAAGCAACAATAAGTTGTTATATGTACCAGTAACGTTAAGTTCTGTATAGAAATTTGATAAACATTACAATTAAAGTGCATTGCCATAGCCATAAACATCAAACTAAGACATTGTAATTTGGTCAATTTCTAAAGTATTTTTTCCTTATAACGGCTACACCTAATCAGATATACATATCTTCCGATCAAAGAAATTATTACAAAAAAAAAAAAAATCCTTGTTATGAACAAAAATATAATATTAATTTCATAATTTGCCAAAGGTTAACACTAATAAATAATAATGAACTTTCACAAATCTTGTATTTTGATCACTACATCTAACTAACAAATGAATTTCAGTTTAGAAGATTGATTCAACAAGTGCATCCATAATTTCTTGTACCTAAATTTGGAGGAATGTTAAGACCTATTAAGATATGTGGAAATGGTCTATGAGACCACAGTTGGTTTATGGAGGGCAATACAAATTCAAAATGTTAGCACGTATCTTTCCTCTAATAGATTGATTAATTTTTTATGACATTTCAACAGGAATATTGTAATAACAGGTAATAATAAGAATAGAGTAAATTCATGAAATTAGAGAAGAAGGAGACAGAGTAAAGAAAGAACCTAGAAAGAAGAAATGGAGAAGATCATTGAAGAAGAACATTATAAATCGTACAACTCAATTCAAAATCGTAAGAATAAAAAATTCAATGTAATTATATATATATATATATATATATATATATATATATATATATATATATATATATATATATATAATAATAATAATAATAATAATAATAATATTTTTGAATAAGAAAATCATTATATTCCAAAAAATTAGGATCTTAAGATATAAACTTGGAGATTTTCAGCTATTCATCTGAAAAAAAAAAAGATATCAGTTATATTGATTCAAAATTTTAAATTAATTAACTTGCTTATTTATTGAGTTTTAAAATTCAAACCGTTATCTCAAATTGATTCATTTTACATGGGATATATTGAGAAATAAATTATAAATAATATTGACTTTAATTTTGATTCATAAATATTTTGCTGATTTAATGGGATTAGATTAGATTTTATGGGTTAATAACTGAATTATTGATATGCTTATTTAATGAGTTTAAAAAAAACGTTTAAATGGGTTAGCCAAAAGCTGTAAATAAGGGAGTTAAATTAGAAACAATATTAATTATAAAATATGATATCTCGTATATAAATAGAATAATATAATTTAATTCATAACATAATTGTTGAATTTAAAGATTTCATAATTAAATGTAATCGTGTTTGATTTTTATTTGGGGACGGTGATGTCAACAATTTGATCTAAAGGTGGAAAACATATGATTGGAGTACAATCAAGGGTTCTGATTGCTTCATTGATGAATTAAGGGTTCTCTTGTAATAATATTTAGATATGAATGAAACTAATATGTTTAAGTAGATTGATTAATTTTTTTCATGACCTCTCAACAGGAATACATTAATAACATGTAATAAGAAGAGAGAGTAAATGCAAGAAATTGGAGAATGAGAAAGAGAACAAAGTAAAGAAAGAACCTAGAAAACATAATTAAAGAAGAAAATTGCTAAAGAAGAACATTACAAGTTGTTGGACTCAATCCAAAATTGTAAGAATAACAACTTTAATGTAATAATATATAAAGGGTGTTTTTGGATAATCAAAGAATTATCTTCTAAAAAAATGGGATCCTGAGATATCATCTTGGAGATTTACGGCTATTAATCAAGGAAAAAAAGAAAGAAATCAATTATATTGATTCAAATTTACAAATTAATTGACTTGCTTATTTTATGAGTTTTAAAATTCAAATCATTATCTCAAATCGATTCATTTTATGTGGGATGTTTTTTGAGATAAATTATGAATGATAGTGACTTTATTTTTGACTCTAAAATATTTTGCAGATTTAATTGGATTAGATTAGATTTTATAAGTTAATAACCAAATTAATGATATGCTTATTTAAAGAGTTATTTTAAAAAAAAAATGATTTAAATTTTGAAGCCGAAAGCTATAAATAAAAGAGTTAAATTAGAAACAATATTAATTATAAAAATTGATATCTTCTATATAAATAGAATGATATGTTTCAATTGATAAAATAATTGTTGAATTTAAAGATTATATAATGAAATATAATTGTTTTTGAATTTTATTTAGGAAAGATGATGTCATCAGTTTGATCTAATGATGGAAAACATATGGTTGAAATACAATAAGAATCTGATTACTTAATTGGTGAATTAAAGGTTATATTTAAATAATATTTAGAGATATTCTTTTTAGATTTTATAAGGCATTTAAAATATCATTTTCTCAACACTGGTTGTGATTATATATTTATATGCTTGCATAAAGAATCATTAAGTCAACTATAAGTAAAAAATGTTATTTTAAATTCAAACTAACAATAGACGCTAAAAAAACAAAAAAAAATGATTACATAGACCAATACTCATAAAATCATTAGTTAAATTATGATTTTAATTTGAAACTAAAAATAATAAAAAGTAGTTGGCAAAAATAGTCAAATAAAAATAAATGATTATCAATACTCATAAAATCATCAAGTTAAATTATGAATTTAATTAAATATCTAAAATCATAAAAATGGGTAACAATATTTAAATATAAGGTTAATCGGAGTGGGTGTCTCAACCCACGCGTGGAGCTGATCTAGAAGGCCAAAGAACACATGAATACCGTCCCCATGGTCGGTGGATTGTCTGTAATGTGGGTGCGAAGACGGACGAAGACGAGCTAATGGCGAGGAAGGAAACAACAATTGTAATATTGTTTTTGGCAACGGTACCGTCTTTGACCGTTAACATTAAAAGAAAATATTTTTTCAATTTAAAACCTATCAAGTACAAATATAAATACCCACTACTTTACTAACATTTTACACTTCAAAAAGCATTCTTTGTTTTTTATCTTCTACAAAAAAAACACTCATCTCATATATTTTTTATCTTCTATCTATGGATCCAAATCAAAATATTCCACCTATTCCAAACACCTCAAACACTCCAAATGATTCGTTAGCAAATCTTAATTACATGCAATTGATAACAACTTCAATTCAACAAAAACTTCTATTCACCAATCTTTCATACCACTCATATTAATACCAACTACAACCACCACAATTCCATCAACCACAATTTCAAGTCTTTTAAAAACAATTTTCTCCGCAATTTCAACCTCAAACTTCTCAACGTCAACAATTTATTTTAAATTTA